GCCGGGAGGTAGGGTTCGATTCCTGGTCAGGGCACAGGCCCAGGTTGCGGGCTTGATCCCCAGTGTGGGGCGAGCAGGAGGCAGCGGATTGACGATTCCCTCATCATTGGTGTTTCTCTCTCCCTGTCTTCCTCTCTGAAATCAATAAAAGCATTAAAAAAAGCAGCAGCAGGAGGTTGTGCTGGGCGCCCTCTCACGGAGGGACGTACGCTGTCACCGAGGCCTCTCAGGGCTGCAGCCCATGGTCAGGAGGAACGTGCGTTTACTGAGTCACTGTCGCCCGTTTGCCATCTCAACAGGAAGTCAGAGAATAAGCCAGGAGCGGACGCCTCCTCGCGCCTGCAGGTCACAGCCGGGGACTCGCCTTTTGCCCTGTGAGTTCCTTTCCCTTTGGAAAAACCTCGCCTGCTCCGAGGTAGACGGCCGGCCTGCTTGTACCGATTAACTGCACCTTTTGCCAAGAAAAACACATCTTCCATGGTCACACCAGCCCTACGTGAGCGTAAGGCGGCTCAGTAGCCACATGGGGCCTCTGCCATCTCTGCTCTCTGAGCCGTCATGGCCGCCTTCTCCCAGCAGCTCTCAGGCGGCTCCACATCTCATCTCCCGGAGCACGTTCTGCGGCTGACTCGCTGGTGCTTCGCAGTCAGGCTTGTCTTGTTCTGCAGAGAACGTAGAGCGAACGCGCCTGCACTGGGGCGTCACATGGGCTACTGTGCAGTCCGTTCAGAAGGCACCGCCGCTTCTCAGGCTCCTCCCCTTTTTCTCCATCACCAGCCCCAGCAGCAGCTCTCTCCCCCGCTGCCTTCCCTCTCCCTCTCCCTCTCTCCCCTCCCTCTCTCCCCTCCCTCTCTCCCACCCTCTCCCCCCTCCCCAACACACACACTCACCAAGTTCTAACCCTTCATAAAAGCCACCACATAAGGATGAGAGCAGCCAGCAGGAGGGCAGCTCCTAGGCCCAGAGACTCGCGGCTCCGCCTCCGTGGGAGGTTAATTCAGGCCGAGTGGCAGGTTTCCATGTGCCTGGCTGTCAGGGCGCTCAGAGGTGAGAATGACAGCTCTGCTCATGCCAAGGGCCCGCCCCTTCCAGTTCCACCAAAGAACAGGAGCCGGGCGAGGCCAGTGACTGCAGGGCTGTGCAGGACGTCTCACGCCCTCACCTAAGGGTGGAGCCCGAGCTGGAGGGACACCCTAACCCTCGCGCAGACGGGGAGATGGGGGGAGACTGCGAGCAGAGGGTGCGGGGTCTGCTCCAGGCCTGGTCACCTCAGGCAGTGAGCAGAGGCACCAACGCCCGACTCCCAGGCCTGCCTTCTCAGCCAGAAACTCAACAAGGGCCTACCAAGCGCCCTGCAGCTTTTTTGTGTGTTTTTTAGGGAAGAGGCACCGGTCCATTCTCTGCAACAGAAACCCGAGAGCTCCTGGCGCGGGGCAAGCTCGGCTTCCTCACCCTCGTCTGAGCTCCGCAGCCGGGCGTCTGCTCCCACGCCGGCCCCTGTCCCGTCTCCTTTTCCATCGTCACCTTGTCATCTCGGGGCGCCCCGCCTCTCGGAGAAAGCCAGCAAGGCCTCTCCCAGGCCGCCGAGCAGGAGGCTGCAAAGGAGCGAAGAGGTCAGGAGGCTGCCGGCGCCACATTCGCGGGTGAGGGACGACCCTGGTTCTGCCGTGGGGGCGTCCCTCACCCCACTTCCAGGTCAGGCCCAGGAACCGCCAATCATGCCAAGTCCCCCTGAGCTGAGGGGGAAGAGGGGGTTTTGCAAGGTGGAAGAGGGGCTGTGTCCACTCGCCTGACGGGTCGTGTGTGTGTGTGTGTGTGTGTGTGTGTGTGTGTGTGTGTGTGTAAGACTGCGCCTGGGCCAGCTCTGGAGGAAATACCGCAGGAGGGCTCCCCGTGAAGCTGCCGGGCCGTCTGCTAAAGGGGCTGATGCCATGGAGTCTCGCAGAATTGCTAAGGTGACGACCTCTGAACCCGTTTCGTTTAGATTCACTGCACATCACAGATGACCTGGCTTTTCTGTTCACCCAGAAAAAGCCTGCTGCTCCCTTCAACCTCCCATATAGGATGCGCCTGCCCCCGACTCCGGGCAAGTGCAGGGCCACCGTGCCTGAGGGGAGGCTGCCCGGGACTCTGGGTTTGGGGGTTTTTACTCCTGTTGGGGTTTTTACACCCACCCCCGTTTTCTGTTTCCACGGATCCTCCTCAGTCACAGGGGATCGAACAAACGTCAGTGACTAATACGCAGGCTGCAGAGCGCCAGCCAGAAACCCACCCACCGCGCTCTGGCCGCTGTTTTTAGTGTCTCCCAGTACGTCCTTCCCTTCTCTCTCATCGGGAGCCAGGCCCATCTCGGTTTTCACTTGCTTATTATTGTGGTTATTCAGTGAATCCCTATTCAGTGAATCCCAACGGAACCCGCCGGGCGGAGGACAGAGCCGCCACCCCTTTCCCGCTGCGGCCCGCACTCACGTCGTACCCGGTGAACATTTCCTCGGTGGGTGATGTGAGTGAAAAGGGCTCCGTCACGCTCGGGAGGACATGCAGGCCGCACACGCTCAGTGACCATCAGCAACCGCATGGGATGGTCTGATCACAAACTGACCGGGCAGCCCCGCCCAGAGCCCTCGGCAAGGCCGTGCTGGCCCTCAGTGGTCCTCGCCGCCCTTACGCATCCAGACAACACGCCGTTGGAAACCAGAGTGATTTTCTTGTCGAGACCCCTCAACGGCACAGGCACCGAGCAGACCCCACAGACCCCATGGTCACCTGTGCCCCCGACGCCATCTCCAGGGGCGGGAGTTGCTTCTTACCAAGTCCCTGTCCCCACCCGTAGGGAGGCTGTTACTCCTGCTGCTCTTACCCACCTGGAGCGTTCCCAGTTCCCACCTTGCTTCTCCGCCTCCTTCACCTCCTGCCAAGGGGTCAGGACCTTCCCTGTGTCCCCCCTGGCCTTGGACGCATGCGGGAGCAGAAATGGCTGCTCTCGGGCATCTCCTCAGTCTGTCGCGACCTTGCTTCTGGGTGCGTCCTCTGCATTTGGCTCAAATAAACTCTTGTGAAGCCTTCTCTGGTTTGGGGCCGTCTTCCATCAATAGATGAAAGCTCCCCTTTCCCATCCATATTTCAAACTATTTTGTGTTTTCCTCGTTTCCTCACCAATGTGTGTGCCTGACATACGGCACCATTCCTCGGGGGACTCGGAGGGACAGTGCGCCTCCGCGGGCCAGGCTGTGCTGGGAGACAGCAGGCCCCGGGAGCATTTAAAGAGGAGGCTCCCATGTGCGACCCAGGGGGAGACGGTGAGTTCCGGGGCCACGACCCTGGATGCAGTGTGCGGTGCGGGGAGAAGCTCCCCTCACCCTAATCCATTCTTCCTGTAACCGACGCGGCAGTCGCCATGCTGGCCCCTAGCTGAAGGCGAACGGCATCTTCACTCAAGGACGAGATGTGGTCACTCGTGAGGACGCTGGTGCCAGGAGGCCTGTGCCGGGACCAAGTTTGCGTGATGCCCACACCGGGCAGCCCGGTCAACGGCGGGTCAGAGAGGGCGGGCAAGGCGAGGGCTGAGGGCTGAGCCCTGAGAGCAGATGGTGGATGTGTCTGGTCACTCCCTTCTCTCCTCAAACCAGCACCGTCCCAAAGACAAGAGGGACTCTCCCACTCAACAGGGCAAGGATTAAACCCACTTTGCTGAATTTTGGAAGAGGGAATGCCTATCGATACCTACCCTAAAACTGTTAATTAAAAAATGAATACTTAGCCCTGGTCGGCGTGGCCCATGGTTAGCGACAGCCTCACACTGAAGGGTCACGGGTTTAATTCTGAGTCACGTGCACATACCTGGCTTGCAGGTTCGATGCCAGCCCCAGTCGGGGTGCATGTGGGAGGCAACCAATCAATGTTTCTCTCTCTCTCTCTCTCTCCCCCTCCTTCCCTTCCTCCATTCCACTCTCTGCAAAAATATCAATAGAAAAAAATCCTC